AATCCCAGGCCTCGTCACCTCCAGGCATTTCCAATTATCTTCAAAGATTTGACAAACTTCTCCTGAAACAGTCTCAGAAACGTAAGTTAAAAATAAATTTAATTAAAAACATACGAAACACTCCATGCAGCGTATCAATACAAAAATGTGTAGGGTTGTGCTCTCTCCTTGACTGGAGTCCTTTTCTTTCTTTTTTTTTTTTTTTTTTAAGATTTATTTATTTATTTGAAAGTGTTACACAGAGAAGGAGAGGCAGAGAGAAAGAGATCTTGCATCCTCTGGTACACTCTTCAATTGGCCTCAATGGCTGGAGCTGTGCCAATTCGAAGCCAGGAGCTTCCTCCCACACAGGTGCAAGGGCCCAAGGGCTTGGCCCATCTTCTACTGCTTTCACAGGCATAGCAGAGAGCTGAATCGGAAGTGGAGCAGCCAGGTCTCAAACCGGTGCCCATATGGGATGCCGGCACTGAAGGCAGTGGCTTTACCCGATATGCCACAGGTCCTTTTTTTTTTTTTTTTTTAAGATTTATTTATTTAAAAGGGTTACAGAGAGAGAGGGAGAGAGAGAGAGAGAGAGTGAGAAGGAGAGAGAGAGAAAGAGAGAGAGAGAGGTCTTCCATCCGCTGGTTCACTCCCCCGATGGCTGCAACAGCCAGTGCTAGGCCAGGCCAAAGCCAGAAGCCAGGAGCTTCCTTCAGGTGTCCCACAGGGGTGCAGGGACCCAAGCAGGGAGCTGGATCAGAAGCGGAGCAGCAGGGGCTCGAACCGGCACCCATATGAAACGCTGGCCTCACAGGTGGTGATTATATCCTCTATGTCACAGTGTCGGCCCCAAGTGGTGTCCTTTTCAAGCAACTCTGCCTCAGCCCGGGGTCCCTGCCCTGCGGAGTTAATGGCAGGTTAGGCTCCCTCGGGGAGTTCTTCACTTCTTTTTCGTGCTGCAAGGAAGAGAATCTGGCAGCGCCCTGCTGGAGGGCCATGAACGCAGCCATGCTCCCTCCCTAGCAGATCCTCAACAAGGCCCCCTGTAACCGTGGGCTCCCAGGGAGGCCCCTCCCCAGGCACCCACAGCCATGAGTCCCAGCCGCCTGAGGGGCAGACCAGAACCCTGGAAGCACCCTGGTCAGCCAGCTGCCCACAGGGTACTCACTGCTGGCATAAGCGGGAACATCCAGCAGCACCAACCTGGAGGGAGACAGAGCAGGCACTGCCTCTGTGCCACACAGCTGGGGTACATGCTCATCTCTCCTAGGGCACCTCCAAATACAGTGTCAGGAAACATACACACACACACACACTCACGACACCTCCATCTTCCCCTCCAGCCATCACCAAGGGAATCATAAGCTCCATCCCAGAACTGTCTCTGATTTTTTTTTTCTTTTGCCTCAAGACAAATGTAATCAGAGATGTTGGGAACATGAAAACACACACACACACACACACACTCTAATTTGAAATTATGCAAAATTCTCACAGTACCCTCTGCAACTTGTAGCAGAGTGACCCTGAAGGAACAGCAAGTTCTCTCCCTGTGCCAGTGGGAGTTCCCCAAGGAGGCTCACTTGGGCCAGGGCGATGCTGGATGCTCCTAGCCTGGCCCTGCAAGGTGAGCTTACCGGACGTGGCCTGGCAAGCTTCTTTGCATATCCTTGAAGCCATTCAGCTGCCTGGCTTGACAAGGTTTCTGAGAGGGGCGAAAATGAATGATCAGGGTAGCGTTGCCACACTCATTGGGTCAGCTGATTGCAGTTCAGGGCGGAGACGAACTGGGAAGAATTTCCTCCCAGGTTAGTCTCTGACGTGGCAGCATCCCTTTTCAGAGCTATGCGATTTTTAAAAAGTCAAACCTTAAATATCAAGGCTTTGGCAACCTGTCCTGCTTCAAGCTGAATGTGAAATGGGATCGCACCTCGGCAAGAGCAGCTCCGTGTGAAGGCAGATTCCGTCTTCTCCGAGACTCCCAGGGCACACGTGGCTCTCCACCCCTTCACGTGGGGGCGGGCTGATTTTAATTTGGGGGCGCCAATGTTCACCTGTTTGTAGTGCAGGAGGGCCCTAGTGAAGCTGGGCAAGGAGCTTGGAAAGCTTAATAATGCAAGTCCCTATAAACTAAGCACCAGAGTATTTCAAAAGTTTGGGGCAAATGGTAGTAAAGATGTGTGTTTTGTTGCAAAAAAACTTTTGAAATTTGTGCATACAAGGGAGTCTTGAAAAAGTTTGTGGAAAATGTGTTTTATGAAAAACCTGTGTATGAATTTCAAAAATGTTAATTGTTTATTTGAAAGAGAGAGAGGGAAAGACACACAGAGAGAGCTTCTATTCATTGATTTACTCCCCAAACACCTGTAAGAGCCAGGGCTAGGAGCCAGGAGCTCCATCCGGGTCTCCCACACGGCGGGTAAGAACTCAAGTACTTGAACCATCATCTGCAGCTGCCCAGGCACATTAACAGGAAGCTGGACCACAAGTGGAACTGCCGGGACTTGAACTGGTGCTCCGATGTGGAATGTGGGCACCCAAGCAGCAGTTCAACATGCTGTGCCACAATGCCTCCCCCCCAAAAATTGTAATTCCACTTTCCATGAACTATTTTTTTTTTTTACCCCGGTATATGTCAATGGAAGAGGCATCACAAACGTCAGAGGACTGAGCAAAAGCAATGGAGTGAGACATGTGAGGAGTTTGGGATCTCATGGTTTTCACCGGTAGTTCCAAATGCACAAATTCTGCATGGCTTTGGAGGAAAACTACCTTCAGAGCAGCAGTGAGCACTGAGGACAAACAAAGTTTCAAGGGACAGAGTCTGTTTATTACTCTAAGATCCAGAGGACTAGGGCTGGGGTAGTGGTGCACCGGGTTAAGATATTGCTGCAATGCTGGCATCCCACATGGGCACCGGTTGGAATCCCGGCTGCTTTGATCCAGCTGCCTGCTAATGCGCCTGGGAAAGCAGCAGAAGATGGCCCAAGTACATGGGCCCCTGCCACTCATGTGGGAGACTTGGCTGGAATTCTGGGCTCCTGGCTTGTATCTGGCCCAGCCCTTGGCTGCTGTGGCCATTTGGAGAGTAAACCGGTAGATGGAAGACCTCTCTCTCTCTCTCTCTCTCTCTCTCTCTGCCACTTTTATTTTATTTCATATATTTTATAAATAAAAGATTTATTTTATATATTTAAAAGAGTTACAGAGAGAGGGAAAGACAGAGAAAGAGAGAGATCTCCCATACGCTGGTTCATTCTCCAAATGGCTGCAACAGCAAGGGTTGGACAAGGCCAAAGCCAGGAGCCAGGAGCTTCTTCCAGGTCTCCCACATGGGTGCAGGGGCCCAAGCACTTGGGCCACCTTCTGCTGCTTTCCCAGGCGCATTAGCATGGAGTTGGATCAGAAGTGGAGCAGCTGGGACTTGAACTGACATCCTTATGGGATGCTGGTGTTGCAGGCAGTGGCTTTACCAGCTACACCATAACACTGGCTCCTGCCACTCTGGCTTTCAAATAAATGAATAAATCTTAATCTCCCCCACACCCCCAACAAAAACTGTTAAGATCTCCCTGACTCTGTCCCAAGGCCGGACTGAGGGTCGTTTTGTCCCATGCTGAGCCCTGTAGGTGTTAAGCTCCTCACAACCTGGGTGCCCCTGCCCTTCTCTGCCACACTCTTGTGCAGCCTGGATTCGTGTGTCTCAGAAGCAACTTGCTCTGGCCCATTTTCTCAAGCCTTGCTCACCAAAGTGGGTCTAACAGCATGGCATGATCGTCATCGCATTGTGATTTATGGAGGGTCAGTAGGCAGCCCCCTCCCACTCGGGGGGCTGACCTCAAGGTCAAATGGGTCATCTGCACAAGGGCAGGGGGTCAAGAAGGGAGGGGTTGGGCCCTGGGCCAGCTGAGACCCGGCTGGGGCCGCATCCTGTCCCGGCGGAAGCCCCGCCTCTCCCAGCTGCTGTTAGGGAAGTCCTCACTTAGCCCTGACCCTCACCTCCAGGGATCAGAAAGTCGAGAACTTTCACCTCCAACACCGCAGATATTCCTTTAAGGTGGAGGACATGCGTATGGAAGAGGTGACTTCACTTTGGAGATGTGTTTCCTGCTCAGTGTGGATGAGGAAGCAGAAACGGAGAAAAGGATGGTGGGGGAGTCGTGGATCCGTCTGCCTTCTGGGGTCGCAGCTGCTAAGGGGTGGAAAATCAATTTTTTTCCTATTACTCTGCGGTGAGAAAGGAAAGCCTATTTGTAAATGGAATTAAATCCAATAATAGCCTGTCTGTGTATTTGTGGAACACTGGAGAAATTAGCAGTGCAACTAGAAATTAGCACACTCCCGTTTCAAGGCTGGGTTGAGACATCTTTCTCTTTCGTTTTTAAAGAACACACCCAGGGCTGGATGTCACGCAGAGGCTTCGCGGGCCACGCATCAACACCTCTGAAGGACCCTGCGAGGGGACGGGTGCCCCAAGCCCATCTGGTGAGAGCGAACTTCCAAATCCTTGCCTGTGCTGCCTGTGTTAGCAGTCAGTCATCCACAGTGACTGCATCTGAGCTAGAACTTGCTCGAAGGCGGCTTCTTCCCAAGCTGCAATCTGTGGTGCCGACGGTGGAGCAGCTGGTTCTCCGACCCACCCAGCCGGCACCCGGCACCCGGCACCCAGCACCGGGCTCCTGCAGCCAGCCCGCGGCTGACGTTTCAGCGCCACTCTGCCCTCTAGTGGGGCAACCCAGAACATCCGAGAACGGGGAATACAAAGAATTCTTTTCCAGACAGCGCCAGGCCAGACGCTGGTCCTGAGCTTCCAGAAAGGGATCAAACCAGGCTCACTCGGATAGGTCCCCAGGTCAGAGCAGAGGCGGAGGGGACGCCCGCCGGCACCTGCAGCGACTAAGGGGCTTTCCACGACCTTCGAACCCTGAGGGGCATCCATTCTAAGTGCAACCAACATGTCAAGAGTGCTCTAAATAATAAGGTCTTTGTTAATTCTTGGCAAATCATGAACACACGCGGGCCTTTCAAAAAGAGCTATGTTTTTTTTTAAAAGGCAAAGGTGCACAAATTTTACAAAAAAAAAATACGAAAAACAAGTCTTTGTGGCTGCTGATGCGCACAGGAGAGCCCATTCATGGGGCTGGCTGGCTGTCGGTCAGGCAGGAGATGAACCCGAGCTCTGTCATCTTGGGCTTGGCTTCTGTCTTCAGAACTTGGCTTGCTTCAGCCTGTCGATGTGGTAGCAGAGTTTCAGGGCGGGCCCCAGCTTCAGGCCCAGGTACTTCATGATCATGTCACTCCTCAGAAGCAGGAGAGCATTGCCATCAATCTCCTGGTGCAAGAGGATCAGGAAAATAAAACAACACAATAAGACCCAGAAGCTGTCAGGGGGATCCGAGCAAGATGGGCAAGAGGTAGGGTGGGGTCGGGGATGTAGGGAGGGCACGTGCAATCAGGGAGAGTGAGTCTCCTATCCTCTCTGTCCCAGAGCGAGAACTTCTTTAGAAAAATTAAACATGTGCGGCGGGCCTTTCATTTTCCTGCTGCCCTCTGATTGAAGGAATGGAAGGTAACCCTGTCTTGGTTCACAGAATCCAAATAGGATCCCTTTGTCCAATCCAGTGCTAAAGGAGCCAGCGTGCCATCCATGAGACCCTGGCACTAGAGGGCGCCTTTCTGTCCCAGACACTGGGAAGAGCCCCTAACTTGCCCCCTGCCCTTAAGTGCTCCCTTTTTTTTTTTTTCCCCTTAGTGGGCATGGCTTTACCTGGCTGTAAAGTGGGCTTTATAATGCTCAGGAGGGATTTCAGGTGTTTGTTCTTTTTGGGGGGCCCACTCAACAATACAAGGCAACATACACCAACTAAATAATGCACCTGCTCCATGCCAGTGGTCAGCACAGAGAACTAACAAGGGAATGAGGGCTTGGTAGTGCTCTCACTGCCTCTGACAATGGCAGCCCTTCAGAGTGCAGTTGGTTCCAGAACCTAGTGAGGCTGGGCTTCTGTGCTCACCTACTGGGCTGCTTTCAGGTCACTAGAGACCGGGGTAGGCAGCTCAGATGCTCAGGTGGGGAGAAGAGGCACAGTTCCAGGGCTCACATAAACGTGCAAAGGTCACCAGCCCTTTTAGTTCACTTATGCAGACGGCTGGCATGGATGGAGCACTGTGGGGAGCAACCCGGACTAGACTAAGTTACTGGAATTAAGACTTATTCTATGCATCTGCTCTCCCACAATATGGCGCTGAGAAGGGAGAAGCAGCTTCTACGCAGCTGCCTCCAGTTCAACCAATAAACTGTAGGACCTGCTCCTGATTGGAGGAGAGCAGCGTACTCGGCGTGTGGGTAGCAGAGTTGGGATTGGTGGAAAAGGACTATAAAGGAGGAGAGAGACAACATGCACCAGGAACATCTAAGGGGAACATCTATCTGAAGGAACACCTGTGCAGCCCCCGAGAGAGCCGGCCGGCGGTGTGCCACTCTCCTGCGGAAGTGGGGAAAGTGGCTAGGGGGAACCGCCCTTCCACGGAGGTGGAAGGGACGGTAGCCAACCCGGGAAGAACCAGCAGCAAACCCGGGAAGGGCCGAGCAGACAAAAGAACAGCGCAGGGTCCTGTGTCGTTCCTCCACGAAAGGGGGAGCGACAGAGCACCTACTGTGTGTCCCTCTCCTTGTCCCTGGCAAAAGGGCAGAGTGGGCAGAGCTCAACTCCCAACCACCTCCTCAATGCCCACTGTGTCCTATCACCTGGAAGACAGCCAGGCTGCCTCTGCCCCCATCTGTCTAAACCTGCCCCATTCATTCTGTGGTCCTTGGTCTCAGGCCCCATTGTCAGCTGAGAATATTCCCTAATGACGCATGTGTGTTGAGTGGCATGAGGATCCTCCCTGGGCCTGACATTGCAATTTCCATGACAGAGCCACCAAATAAAATGAGACAGGAAGGAAAAAAATAGTGGAAGGACCGTGGTAGGCAGAGTCATGTCCCCTTCCCTGCCCCTGTCCCCAGCATGTCTGCATCGTGATCCCTGGACCAGCAGACAAGTCACCCTATTACGTGGTAAAGGGAAATTAAAGTTGCAGGTGCTGTGGTTAATGTAGCAGGTTGGGGCTGGCACTGTGGTGTAGTGGGCTAAAGCCTCTGCCTGTGGCACCAGCATCCCATATGGGTGCCAATTCAAGTCCCAGCTGCTCCACTTCTGATCCAGCTCTCTGCTATGGCCTGAGAAAGCAGTAGAAGATGGTCCAAGTCCTTGGGCCCATGTACCCTGGTAGGAGACCTGGAAGAAGCTCCTGGCTCTTGGCTTTGGATTGGCCCAGCTCCATGCACTGTGGCTATTTGGGGAGTGAACCAGAGGATGGAAGATTCTCTCTCTGTCTATCTCTCTTTCTGTAACTCTCTCAAAATAAATAAATGCTTTTTTTTTTTTTTTAATGCAACAGGTTAAGCCACTGCTTGGGCAGCCAGTGTTCCATATCAAAATGTAGGTTCGAATCCAGGCTGCTCCACTTTCAACCCTGCTAAGGGGCTGGGGAAAGCTACAGAAGAAGGTCGATATCTTTGGACTCCTGCCACTGCATGGGACACCTGGATGGAGTTCCAGGCTCATGGCTTTCACTGGGACCACCCCTGCCCATTGCAGTCATTTGGGGGAGTGAACCAGCAAGTGGAAGATCTCTCTCTCTCTCTCTCTCTCTCTCCCCCCTCCTTCCCTCCCTCCTTCTCTCCTGTAATTGTGCTTTTCAATAAATAAATAGTTTCTTTAAAAAAGTTGCAGGTGTGACTGAAGTTGTTAATCAGAATATTTTTAGATTGATTTATTTATTTGAAAGTCAGGCCGGCGCCGCGGCTCACTAGGCTAATCCTCCACCTTGCGGCGCCAGCACACCGGGTTCTAGTCCCGGTTGGGGCGCCGGATTCTGTCCCGGTTGCCCTTCTTCCAGGCCAGCTCTCTGCTGTGGCCAGGGAGTGCAGTGGAGGATGGCCCAGGTGCTTGGGCCCTGCACCCCATGGGAGACCAGGAAAAGCACCTGGCTCCTGGCTCCTGCCACCGGATCAGCGCGGTGTGCCGGCCGCAGCGCGCCTCCGCGGCGGCCATTGGAGGGTGAACCAACGGCAAAGGAAGACCTTTCTCTCTGTCTCTCTCTCTCACTGTCCACTCTGCCTGTCACAAAAAAAAAAAAAAAAAACACAACACAAACCAACTGTCAGACTTACACAAAAAGGCCATGATACAGAGAGAGAGAGAGAGAGAGAGAGAGATCGATCTTCTATCTGCTGGATCACTCCCCCAGATGGCTGCAATGGCCAGGATTGGGCCAGGCTGAAGCCAGGAACTAGAAGCTTCTTCCAGGTCTCTCACATGGGTGACAGAGGCCCAAACACTTGGGCCATCTTCTGCTGCTTTTCCCAGGCGCATTAGCAGGGAGCTGGATCAGAAGGGGAGCAGCCAGGACACGACTTGGCACCCACATGGGATGCCGGTGCTGCAGGCGGCAGCTTTACCGGCTGTGCCACAGATCAATCAGATGACTTTGAGGCACAGAGAGTGTCCTGGATTATGGGGGCAGTGTAATAAAACTCTTTAATAATGGATGAGGAAATCAGAAGAGTGAACCAAAGAGGAGGGCTCAGCTTGGCAGCTCTGGCTTGAAAGATGAGGGTAGTGGGATGTGAACCCTGCCATGAGGGTGGAACACCCAGGAAGGACTGCTGCCTGGCCGACACCTTGACCTTAGCCCCAGGGAGACTGCAGCAGACTTCTGACCTACAGAACCCTACGACCAAAGCAGTGCTACAGGTGTAAGCCAGTGCATTTGAGGCATTTTGTTACAGGAACAATAGCGAACCAACACAGTAAGCTGGACAGCTAAACTGGGAATTGTTTTTTATTCACCATTTTATAGATTTCAAAATCTAAATAACTGTAATAACCGGGGTACAGCAGTGTGACAGTTTGCCTCCCTAATGGTTGCTGCGTGCACAGAGGGGTGGACGGCCAGGAAGATAGGCATTGCCCCCATTAAGGCGGGAATGAGAGGACAGGGATAGAAGAGCCTTAGAAACCTGTGGCTGCCCCAGTCTCTCACCTGGCTCCGTGAGCCCCGCCCCCGCCCACCTACGTGCTTCCTGAAGAGCTCCACGTGCGGCCCCAGAGCCTGCGGGTCGGCGTCTTTCACGAACCAGACCACGTCCTCCACGGTCCAGGTGGACGGGTTCCTGCTCCGTGGCCGCCGGGTGTCCTGTCTGTCCGGAGAGGGGCTCGGGGCTGAAAGGGGTGAACAGAGAGAGGGAGGCGGTCAGCCAGTGCGCCAGGGCTGGGAGCCTGCCTGGTGCTGCCCACCCTGCTCCGGCCTGGGAGGGGGGTCCTCGGTGCCCTGGAGACAAGGCAGGGGCTCCAGGGACCTCCTGTGAGGGGGAAAGGCTGTGAGCAGAGCACGGGAAGGAGGTTCCAGAGGCAGCACCCTCCCCAGCCTCTGTGGGTGGAGTGTGTGCCACCAAAGCTCACGTGTTAGGGGCAGGCTTTTGGCACATTGGTTAACAGGCAGCTTGGGACGCCTGTATCCCACACTGCAGTGTCTGGGTTTCAGTCCCAGCTCTGCTTCTGATTCCAGCTTCCTGCTAATGTGTACCCTGGGAGGCAGCAGTGATGGCTCAAGTCCTTAACACCCACATGGGAGACTTGGATTGAGTTGCTGCCTCCCGGCTTCAGCCTGGCCTAACTATGGCTGTTGTGGGCATTTGGGGAGTGTATGGGAGACCTCCCTCCCTCCCGGATTGCTCTGCCTTCCAAATAAAAAAAATAATTTTATAGCATTTTTAAAAAATGATTTATTTATTTATTTGTAAAGCAGAGTTACAGAGAAAGATAAAAGGAGAAGCGGAGAGAGATCTTCCATCCACTCCCCAAATGGCCACAACAGCCAGAGCTGAGCTGATCCGAAGGCAGGAGCCAGGAGCTTCTTCTGGGCCCTCCATTCAGGTTCAGGGACCCAAGGATTTGGGCCATCTTCTACGGCTTTCCCAGGCACATTAGCAGGGAGTTGGATTGGAAGTGGAGCACCCGGGACTCAAACCAGTGCCTATATGGGATGCCAGCACTGCAGATGTTGGCTTTACCCACTGCGCCACAGCGCTGGCCTCAATAAATAATTTTTTGAAAGAGGGAAATTACTTTTAAAACCAGCTCATGTGTTAAAGGGTTGGGTCTTCTATGGGACAGCGTTGGGAGGTGGAGCCTGGTGGGAGGTGTCTGGGTCATGGGCAGAGTCCTCACGTATGGGTGAATGCTTTTCCTCAAGGGAAGGGAATGGATTGGCTGTTGCAGGCATTCCTCCTCCTTTTCTCTCTTGCACCTGCCCCCTCTACCTTTCTGCTCTCCATCATGAGCTGGAGCAGGACAAGGCCCTCACCAGAAGCTGGGCAGATGCTGGCGCCCTGCCCTAGGGTCTCCCAGCCTTCAGAAAATAAACCTCTGCTCTGCGGACATCCTCCAGCCCCGACCATTCTGCCATAGCAGCAGCACAGAGAGCCAGCCACCCTCCTTGCCAAGGCCGTCTGCTCACCCAAGGCGTGAGGCCTCAGACAAGGGTTTCCTTCAACAGGTCGACATTCTTATCCAGGGCCTCCCGCGACAGGTAGGTAGTTGGTACCAGGGTGAGCGTGAAAATATCTCAGTGTGTGGCCCACTGACTTCAGGCCCCCACTGTCTCTATTAGTTTCACATAAAGATGACAAAGACATGGCAGAATTCAGGTGCATCTTGGTCTTGACCTTGGTTGCTGTAGAATGGCCAATCTGCCGCCCCATCCTCAGAACCCCTGACTGCAGGGCGGGGGGCAGGGGAGGGCGGGGAGGACTTCGTCCCCTGGCTGCAGGTGCAGAAAGAAGATGTCACCTCATTCTCTGCCCTGGGTTTACCCTGAGTGCTCCCCAGCCCACAGAACACTCACGCTGGTCTCCCCTCCTGGCCCAGGACTTTCAGACTGCAGAGGATCTAAGCCCATGCCTGCTCCAGGGCTGGTCCTTGATGAATGGCTGCAGGTGTGCCATTTCCGGTGGGGGCAGGCGAGAGATGCACCAGATACCTGGTGCTATTTTGGGGTCAACTGTTTTAGTTCTGTCCCATCAGCTAACTCACCAGCTTTCCCTGGAGTCAGCCTCTCCTCCCGTCTCCCCTATTTCTGAAACCGACCTCAGCCTCCTTCCCCTTCTTTGCTCCCCTCAATTCCCGATCCTGAAGCTCTCAGGAGGGGGCCCCTCCTGCTGGTCTCCTCCCTTCCATCCCTGTAGCTGCTCCCCCAGAACCTGTCACCCGCCCCCTGCAGGGTTCTCCAGTGGGTCCCTTTCCCAGCACTCCTGTCTTTCAAGCACATATACCTGCTAAGGCACCGCCCCCTGGTGCCCCTTTGCCCCTGTACTGAGTCCCTCCTCTACCTCAAGGTCAAGGGTCCTCTTAGAGACCTCAAGGCGGCTCCTGGAGCTGCCCCTCCTGCTCCGATGGTGAGGTGGCCATGGGCTGTGCTCCGGACCTGGAGGCGCAGGTGTGAGGCATGAAGGGGGACAGGGGCTGTCCCTGCACCTGGCCCATATCCAGCGATCCTCTGAGGCAAGGGGGCTCCGTGCCTGGGCTGTCCCCACCCGCTCTTCTCTACCTTTCGCTGCGCTCACACTACTTCTAAAGACAGTCCCCTCCCCGCCCCAGCGCCATTGCCCCAGCTGCCCAGGCCACCAGCACCTCTGTGAGAGCCATTGCTCTACCTCTTCCCCTGCAAATCTCTATTCAACCTTCTCTTAGGACGCGGTCCCCATGCTGCCGCGCGAGAATATCCACGCACTTCTCAGGACCCTCTGGTCAGGTTTCCATTTCCTGGGGACCCCCTCGCACCTGCCTCCACCCATTCTGGGTGCTTTCTCTCTCCCAGGTGCTGGCTGACATCTTGGGGGAAAGTACAAACGAGACCCCCTTGTTATAGGGGTGCCACAAAGGTCTCCTCCATGCCTGCAGGTAAGTCACTTGGAAACACAGGTTCCATAACTGTGAGATGTCTCAATAGACCTTGCAGGCATGGGCAAAAGCCTTCATCTAATTTCAAAGCTAGAAAAGAGCCAGGGCTCAGAGCCGTGACTCAATGCTGTGGCACAGGGGATTCGGCAGCCACCTGCAGTGCCGGCATCTCATATGGGCGCCAGTTCGAGTCCCGGCTGCTCTGCTTGCAATCCATCTCCTTGCTAATGTACCTAGGAAAGAAGCAGAAGATGGCTCAAGTGCTTGGGTCCCTGCACCCACAAGGGAGACCTGGATGAAATTCCTGGCTCCTGGATTGGGTCTGGTCCAGCCCTGGCCATTGTGGCCATCGGGGGTGCTTATCCTAAATACAAAATGGTTTGATTGGAAAACTGGATTTACTTTGAGATTTTCCCCTGTCTTTTCCTTGTTGGACCTCAAAGGGTCCCCTAAGGGTGATTTGGCACAGGGCGTCTCCCTCAAGCACCCCAGAGCCATCCGAATGCCAATGCACGCTTATGAAGGCTGATTGCACTCCATTTAAAGCCGTCTGTCCCCAGCGTGGGGACGAGGAGTCCCGGAAATCGCAGCTGCCTTTGGGTCTCACCCCCATCGTGCATTGCCGTAATCAGAGTGACAATGGATGTTCTCATTACAAAGGCTGGAAGCGTTTAGCACCCAGAAGGATTTGAGAGTGATCAGAGAAGCCGTCAGATCTAACTTCCTGTATTTGACAGGAGGAGAAGCTCAGGGCAATCCACAAGAGCATCCTAAGGTCTCTGAGCCCAGCAGGGAAAATGCTTCCCCATCGGCCACGGGCTGGGCGAGGCGCCTGGTTGGTTTGTCTTTGAGGAGCGGGCTCAAGCGGTGATGGCTGGGGAGAGAGAGGGACAGCTGAGTCAGGAAAAGGGGCCCCCTTCCTGCTCCCTGTGTGGCGGCAGCTGGCCTGGCTCAGGGCTGGGTGTGAGGGGCCTCTTACTCATGCAGGTCAGGGAGCCATCTCCAGCATGGGGCGGGGACGGGTGCTTGCTCAGGCCGTGCCCCCCGTGCTGCTGGGATGTATGGGAAGTGAGACCAGCGCTGGGTGCGTGTCTACTGAGATGTGGTTGCCGTGGCTAAAACTGAGCTCCTGTTTTCCAGGAACAGCGTGGCCATGCGTCCAGGTTTAGACGCCCCGGACACTCCCACAGCGCAGGTGCTTGTGCCACGGCGGCCACCTCGCTCTGTTTTTCCCATTGCCACAAGCACATACCCAGTGTCCTTGCGCCCATTCATGATTCAGAGGAAACTTTTTTAGCTCCCCGTGGAGCCGTGTGGAAGAGTAGGGAGAGCAGTGAGCCAGCGGTCAGAAGGGCCTCCCACCCACCTGCCCTCCCACCCGCCAGCCAGCTGTGGACCACCTGACTCCTCTATTGCAAAGTGAAGGCGTCTGGTCTTGAGGGTCCCCCCACTGGTGACTCTGGGTGAAGTCTCACAGCACAGGCTGTCGACACGGGGCAGTCTCCTCCTGTCACTGGTCACTCAGCTTGTCCATGTGTAAAACCCTCAGAAGGAAGAGCCGTGGCCAGGCCTTGAGCCTCTGCCTGGCTCTGATGGTTGCCTGTGGGCCTTGGCTGCTTCCGCTATGATTTGTGCATATCAAGAGTATTGTATGTGGGAGACCAGGAGAAGCACCTGGCTTCTGGCTTCGGATCAGTGCGGTGCGCCGGCCACAGCACGCCGGCCGCGGCGGCCATTGGAGGGTGAACCAACAGCAAAAAGGAAGACCTTTCTTTCTCTCTGTCTCTCTCTTACTGTCCACTCTGCCTGTCAAAAAAAAAAAAAAAAAAGAGTATTGTATGGGTCACAGGACTAGGAGGCACAGGCTGGACCCCGTCGAGGGCCATCTTGAAGAGGGGTCCCTCATCTTTGATGGGAACCCCCATGACCTGGAGGGTCTCCTGGTCTCTCTCTGGCTCCTGGAGCTGGGGTGGGAAGTGATGAGCTCAAAGGGGAGTGGCTGGCAGATCTGTTCTCAGCATCTTTAGGCAACTTGGTCCCATAGAAATGGGCCACGTGCAGCACTTGAGGTACTGAGGCTAGCCCACGATTTGCGTAAAATCAAGAATAGAGTTTTCTAGAGTTTTCAAGACATCTTGAGGTGGAGAGAGAAGAGAGCTTGGCCCACCCTTAGATTTTAATTGGGATTTTCTTTCCTTTCTTCGAGATTGGCTGACCTGCCCGTGTGAGAAGAGAGACCAGGAGAGACCACAGACTTGAGA